CCTCTTCTGCCCATATTTCAAGAGTTAAGAAAAGGGATAATTCCAGTGGTAACCTGGAAAATACTGCTGTCTTGTCAGTGGTGATGCTGTGCTTCAGGGATGCTGCTTTCCTTCACCTACAAATTTTCTGCTGTCTCTTCTTAAAAAAGTACATACTTATCACAGTCAGCAACAAGCAGGACCCCAACACAACCGTGTGCACTGTCCCCAGATCCATGATTTAATCATCCTAATTTAAATTTTGTACAGCACACTCTGCTGCACACTCAAGTGTCTTCCCAATTCAACCACAAAGTCAAAATTCCCATCAGCTGCTTAGAAGCCTGATAGGGCAAGTCTCCAAAAGCAGCCAAGTTTACAGCCACTAGTGCCTAGCTCCAGTCTAACATGCAGGATCTTTCTTTAGTCAACACAGAGAACAATGAGCTTAATTTAAACAAAGATGCACTGCTCTCCAGATTTGTCCTTTTCTGTCCTCTGAAATTGGAATTTTGCCTGGATATCTACCATAGGCAGCGAGTCTGGTGTTAAATGGGTGGCAGACAACTCACGAGATCTTCCAAAATATTTTCCTGCCACCCTGAGTAAAAGAGCATGACACAATTTTGTGTCAGTCTCAGGGAGCTAAAATCTGAAGGCAAACAACAGAGCTGCAGACTCTGTACATGGGCTAATCCTTTCTCATAAATCAGTCACAAGGCCACGGCTCCACAACATCCGGAAGAGCTTTCTTTTTTTTACCCCACCTCCCTCAGCACCTGAGATGTCCTAAATTCTTCTCCTAACACATCTCACAGCCCAGGCACGACTCCATCATCCCAAAGCTGCAGCTCAGAGGGGGATGAGAAGAGGAGCAGTAGGATACAGAAAGGCTTGTTTTTGAAGCAGTTGAAGACTGGTGAAGAAGATTAAGCCTCGATACACATGCTGCATGGCAGAAGGCCTTTGAACCACATGACTGGCCTCATTCCTAGCTTCAGTGAGATTAGCACTTGTGTTGCATGCCTAAAATTCAGATAAGAGTCCCACAGAGTGCCTGGGGAGCACTTCTTACTCCAGGCCATCACAGACATCAGGTCCTCAAAGCAGTACTAGGCCAAAGTCTCAGTGAGGGAAAAGCAATCTGGAACAGTGACATTAATAATGGCACAGGGACAACTAACCATGCTTGCTGCTCACGAGGTGGAGAGAAGTGTACTTTCAAGCCAAACTGGCATGTCTCTGAAGCTGACAAGATTGTTTTTTAGCAGGCTCAGGGCCCTGGAGACACAGCCTTCACCAATGCTCAGATGGCAGGAGCAGAACACATCCCAGCTGCTCTGCTGCAAGCTGAAATGCCCCAGTGCAGAGAGCAGCCCCACGTGCTGCTGCACCAGGGTCCCATGCAGCTCCCCTGTCCCTGTGGCTGTATCATGAAGGTGGAAAAGAGGAGAAACTCCTCCTCCAGCTCCTTCCTCAAACCATGGGACACAACAATTCCAAGGTCCCAGAGCAGCAAGCCTAAAATCAACACTGCTTCAAAGCCATCCACTTCACACATAAGTGGAGAGAATAGAGATGCTAACAAACCTGTCTCCCTTCAGGCTCTGCTGCTGCCAGAAAAGAGCCACTCAATCTAATGAGTCAATTAAAAATTCATAACTGGATGAACGAAAAGAAAAAAAAAAAACAAGTTTGGTTCTTTTTCTGAGAAAATGAGAACAGTAACTCTTTTCTGCACCTCTTCTTGCATACTGTCCGCAGAAACAAAACCAGCCCGAAAACCCCCAACCTATAGTTGAAATAGGAAAATAGAAAGGATCTGTGATCTACCCAGGTCTGCAGAGAGGAGCCCATTTCCCCAAAAGGGCTTCAGGGTTCAACAGAGTTGAAGCCAGCACCACTTCCCATGAATGAGAGGCAGAAGGAAATCTCTGTGTAAGGGCATTCTGCCTACAGGTCATTGCTGGGAGCACTCAGAAAAATTCAGTTTCTGTCAAGAGTTTGGCTAACCCACAGAAGGCAATGTACACAGATGCTCATGTTCAAAATGCAAGTGACCCTAAACCATTTCCAAAGTGAATTTTCAGAAATTAATTAAGCTAAACCAAATTAGAGCCCAAAATCCTGAGCACAAGCATCCATGGAGGGGCATAATGTGATTTAACTAATCCACTAGAAGTTACTTTAGATCAATTTTCTTGAGTATCTCTGACACATGTAAGCCCCAAAGCCAATGTCCTCCAAGCACAGTTCATGGGTGTCTACAGACTCCCAGATCTTCCTGGTTTGTAGCTGTGCAAAGGGAAGGACAGAGCAAAAAGAGATCAACCCAGCTTTGGCTCCCCAGACTCTTGGGAGAGCAGAGGAGGAGCTTCCCACTGCCCAGCCACTGGATATGCTGACTGTGCTCAATTCCAGCTCTTTGGCAGAGCCACCAGAATCCATCCATCCCCACCCTGCCCCCAGGCACGTTTTTTCAGTGGGTGTTGGTTTCAATGGGTTTCACTCCCCAAGGTGACTTAACAAAAGCAGCGCTGACTCAGTTTTGTTTAAACTGCAGTGGGAACTGCAAATCTGGAGACCTAAAGCAAATTGCAGACCTACAGATGAAAAATAGAATACTCAGGCATCTACCCCCCCAACGACTCATGAACATCAGATGGCAAAAAAAGCACATAAATAAGCACCTACACCCATGCTGTGGAGATTCACCTGGGACAGTGGCTCTGAAGGAAAAAAGTCAAGGCAAGAAGCTCAACCTGAAGGAAGGCCATTGTGATTGAAATCATATCCTGGCTCTTTTCACCCTGGATTTCTTGTGTCAACACAGCCTGAACCACCAGCACCACCCTGGGCTGGATAATGTCAAAGTGGTTTCCAAGCTGCAGCCTCACAGACACCTCCTAAGCAAAGCAACCCTGCTTGCTGTCTGTGGGCTTGAATTTGCTAGAGGGGCATCTGTGTTGAACAGGAGCTTTTTTAGAGGTCTTTCAGCCAAAGAGTTGGATGGAAGTTAAATTTGACTGCTGTTAGCTGAGTTAGACACTTCAAATACTGCTTTGAGCTTTGAGATACAGAAAGCAAGCTGAAGCTTGAAAAGGTCAAATCATCTAGTCAAAGAGGTGCCATGGAAATACTCCAGATTTTAGAAGTACCTGTTTTCGATTTTTCTAACGCAAACCAAAAAAAAAGAAAAAAAAATCCCAAACCAGCTTCTTTTGCACACTCATCTACAGACAGCTCAGTCTGCTCAGTGGTGTCAGGATGTACTCAGCACTGCTGTAAGAGCCTGAAGATGACCATCTCTCCTGTTCCCTTTTATGTGCTGCTCATTACTACTGCTCTCTTCCCTGCTCAGTTATTTCACCACCTTTGGCAGGCAGCTCTCTGGTCTGTGACTTGTGCCATCTAACACAGACTGCCTGCCCCTTTCCCTCTCTGTAAATCAGCCCCAGTTTTGTTTTCAGCCATGGCTTCAAACATTCCTCTGCCCAGCCGTGCTGCCTGGAGTCTCATTTTTATAAAGGCCTTATTAGTGAAGAAAGCTCACTATTTCCTGTGCCTCTACACCATGATTTCCTGCAATTCCCACCACTGTGCCACCTGCTCTCCACTCTGCCTCTCCCTCACAGTCTTTTTATCTGACAGCCTATGCAGACCACACTGTACATGTTGGGTGGAAGGGTCTCACACTCCATTGTGGTGTTACATTTTAGTTTGATGGTATGCTCAGTCTCACCCCTTTAAAATGTAGGGTTTATTCCAAGCCTGTGATCCTCCCCTGAAGTATCATGGATGTGTAATCCCAATGGGCCAAGTCTTATTCTGCACCCACTTTGAATCTCCCTGTTAAACTGCGTGAGGGAGACCAGATTCTTCTTGGCCCTTTTCTCCCTAGGCTCTCCCTCTCTTTCCCTCCCTTCCTCTTCCCCTCTTCTCCCTCAGAAAGTATCATGTATCTGTAATCCCAACAGGCCAAATCTTATTCCATGCCCACTCTGAATCTCCCTGTTCAGCTGTGTGAGGGAGACCAGATTGTTTTTGGTTCTTTCCCCCTAGGCTCTCCCTCTCTTCCCCTTCTTCCTCAGAAACCCTGCTGCTCTCAGGGGTAGGACCCGTAATAAACCCTCATCTAATTAGCACCCTCAGAAGCCGTGTGGAGACTCCTTGCCTGCCTGCCCAAGTCTTGTTCTGCACCCACTTTGAATCTTCTTGTGAAACTGTGAGGGAGACCAGCTTGGACCAGGTTCTTCTTGGCTCTTTTCTCCCTAGGCTCTCCCTCTCTTCCCCCCCTTCCCCTCTTCTCCCTCAGAAAGTTGTAATCCCAATGGGCCAAAGTTGAAAGATGTAATCCCAATGGGCCAAATCTTACTCTGTACCCACTTTGAATCTCCCTGCTAAGTTGTGAGGGAGACCAGACTCTTCTCAGCCCTTTTCTCCCTAGGCTCTCCCTCTCTTCCCCTCTTCTCCCTCAGAAACCCTGCTGCTCTCAGAGGTGGGACCCCCAATAAACCCTCATCTAATGAGCACGCCCTAAAGCCATGTGGAGTGTCCTTGCCTGCCTGCCCAAGTCTTATTCCACATCCCCTTTGAATCTCCCTGTTAAGCTGTGAGGGAGACCATGTTCTCTAGGCCCTCCCTCTTTCCCTCAGAATCCATACTGCTCCCGAGGATAGGACCCCCAATAAATCCTCATCTCATTAGCCCCCTCAGAAGCTGTGTGGAGTCTCTTTGCCTGCCCGTCCAAATCTTATTCTGCGTCCACTTTCAATGTCCTCATTAAGCTGTGAGGGAGACCAGATTCCTCTTGGCCCTTTTCTCCCTAGGCTCCCCCTCAGAAGCCATGCTGTTCCCAGGGGTGGAACCTCCAATTAACCCTCACCTCATTAGCACCCTCAGAAGCCATGTGGAGTCTCCTTGCCTGCCTGCTGCTACCAGCGAACGTACAGCTTAGGGGGCCCCTCAAAGGAACTGCACCACCCCACAGGCCCAGCCAGGCCGCGAGCAGCACAGCTTACCCACGAGGTTCATCTTGGCGCTGTAGCTGCCGAAGTACCTCTCGTCGGTGTTGGGCGTGTGGCACTCGTACTGGCCGGCGTCGCGCTCCTGCAGCTCGGTG